CCCCAAAACCCCAAAACCCCAAAACCCCACGAGTACAAAAGACAGGATGAGAAAAGTGTTCAAAATAACATTTAATTTATTCAATATTGAAAACAGGCAAAAATAATGGATTCCCAACTTACTCTGAATATTACGGATCCAAGAATTGGAAAAGAGCATTTTAATAAATGACGGCTTCAAGTGAATCTCCTAAGCGGTCTTTTGCTTCTTTTCAGATTGGTTCATTTGATTACAAGATTAGTCGGGTATTAGCAAATGAGTTAATGCTTAAAGCAATACCTCTTTTTGATATTTGGGATAGGATCACATATACTTTCTATGCTTATCAGTCTAAAATGTCCAATATTTTCAAAGATGCTATCTGGACTGATAATACTTAGTTATATCAATATTCAAACTTGTGATGAGTTTCAATTAGATTAAGGAGATGCAATGGCTGTACTTTTTGACTAAATGCTGTTTGATTTCGTTTCAGCTATTATGCTAAATATGATTTGGTGGTTAACATAAATTGCAAGCGGAATCAATAGAGCATCAACATATTACTACTTTATCTATAGCTTATAAATCAATGTAGATTAGATAATTTATCCTCTCATAATTGGTTGGATTCTATAGACTATAACAGTATATCTTATTGAGAAAAAGTTCAAATAAATGTTCATTCAAACATTTTAAGAAACCAAGAAAAGTAAAGATCTAATAAATCTAGTTGAAGCCATCTAACCAATGCTTCTCGTACTTGTAAAGAGTGACCTAAAAGTATTATTTTCAAATTCTAAATTCAATAAAATTTTGAGTTCAATTCAAGTTTTTACAAATAAGCCAACTGAACTGCCTTTTCTTGAATTAGTGTGCAATAGTAAATAATCAGGTAAAAAACAGTAAAATCAAATGAATTTAAAATTTTAATAATAATTTGGAACTTTCTCGACTAGTTGTGAATTGTTATCTATAAAATAAATTCTATCAGAACCAAAATTATATTCAAAAAAATTCAGACTTTCACCATGGCTTTAATTAACTAAACCGCTACCAACTAATTCAGAAAATGGCAATACAAGTGAGATAGTTGATGCTTCAGATATTAAACTCAACTTCTATAGTTAGTAAAAATTTATAGAAGATTAAAAATCTGATTAATCAAACTACTATTCAATAAAAGTAAGTGATATACTTTTTGATGATGAAGATTGCTATTTGTTTGAGTTATTGGAGATTAAGTAAAAGAGCAAAAGCAAAGAATATAAAATCCATTCAGAAGATGATTAAGAATTTTAGGAGTAGTAAGATCATAATTAATTATCACTTATGTCTAATTAAAACAGACGGTTAGAGAACTAAAATCTACAAAATTCCTCATAATTAAAACTAAACTTGCCAATTAACAAAGAACACCACAAATAAAAATGATTATCAATTTTTCACAAAATGTTCTATTAAAATACAATCAATCTCTCACCAAACTGCCTTGCCCAGATTTATATCAATAACTCTTGCTTAAAATCTAAACATAACTTAACTAATAGTCATAGTTAATAAATATTCAATAATTACGAATAATTTGTTTCAAGAAATTTTATGGTCTCTTGGGGTTTTGGGGTTTTGGGGTTTTGGGGTTTTGGGG